CGTCGCTATGGACCGTGTGGCCTATGCGAGGTCAGAGGGTCCTCTGTTCCAATTTTGTGCCCAATAAGACTAATTCCCTCAAAGGTGCCGCGCCACGGATCCGGCCACTTCTGCGGCGCGCGCGAGAACTTATCGCCAAATTTTACGTAAATTATGGGACGCCGCGCATTACACCGTGTGGCAGTTTCCGCCGTAAAAAAACGCGTTTTCAAAACGCTCGTCGTCATCCGACGGTGCTAAAACGAGCCGAACTAGTCCCGACTAATGAATACAGCGGGTTTTTTGTTTTGGCGCAAATATGTCTATAAATTTATTTATTACATATTGCCAATCATTTTTTAAATATTTTTGTAATTATGTAACGTAAGTTATTAAAAAATATTGAAACAATTCTTTAAAATTTCGACAGTACAGTAAACAAACGATGTTTTTCTCGGGCATCTATCAAGCATATCAAAGCTCTCAGATGCGCGCTCTTGCTCACATACTTCAGAGAGGATCATACGAGTCTTTCAACTGTTTGTTCTTCCACAGACAATGCATCAACCACAGCAAACAGTAGATTCTGTATTTAATTTCTGTGATCCATTACAAAGGAAATTTAAAAAGACACTTTTTCTTCGTGGTAAATATACCGGGTGGTCGTCTGACGGCAACGACCTGTTTTTAAAGTTATGCAAAAGATGTATTCATCCGCTCAATAAGGTGATCAGAAAGATATTTGGGACATTTGGTAGTCTAACGAGATGGGTCGCGGTTGAAGACATACGCGGTTTTTCTGAACGTCATCTATTCAACCCGTAACTACACGCGAGAGGGAGACAAGAGACCCGCATTTTTTCCAATGTTAAACATTGTAATGCGCATAATTAAAACTTTTTCTTTCGAACTGAGAATCTCTTTTTGAGAAGAATATTTTGTATAATACGTTCATTTTAATGACAATTTTTTTAAAGTACGCACGATTTTTAAATAAATAATAAAAGAAAAGAAAATGTAAATAGAAAAATATATAAAAGAAAATTTGTTTAAAGAACGCTATTTTTTTATACAAGATAAACTTATAATAAAAATATAAAAACTGCAACTACATAGTATCAAAATTAGTCAAAAATTATTTAAATAAAACGTACTGCTTAAATTTGTTTCCAATATTGTGACACTTCTTCATGCTGTGCACTACGATCTCTCTCGCGTGAATCCTCACATTACACGAGAAATCTCATTCCGGAAATAAATATTCTCTTCCTCTCCCTCCCTCTCTCTCTCTCTCTCTCTTTCTCTTTCTCTCTCTCTCTCTCTCTCTCTCTCTCTCTCTCTCTCTCTCTCTCTCTTACCGACATCTCTCATAGAAACTTTAGGCGCGTAATAAGATTTCAATTCAATTACCGGAAAGAAATGACTCGAGGTCGTCGATCGTCGCTTCTCCTGATGACCGCGTCTTTTTCTCGTCCGTCTACAAATTCGAGCGTAGAGCGCAAAACAATTTCGGGTCCCTTTGAGAGAGATAGGCTTTTTTTCCCTTCTTTCCACTTCCATGCTCGACACGTTCCCGCGGCGCGCACGAATTTCTATTAAAAGCGGCAATTAGTCTAAGTCCCGATAAATCTTGATGAGTGATACGCCGACATCAGTCTCGTTGTCAAAGACGCTCGCGGCAAGGCCCGTACCGATTACCAATACACACGTGATGTCGCACACGCATACGACACGTATACACGCAAAACGCGTACGTGCACGAGCGTGTCGCATATATACACATATATAAAATGAAGGTGAAGAACGCACTCGCGCGACGGACGAATTTCTTCGGACTTTTCTACGGCGAAGCGGCGGTTCGTTGTTATGTTAAACTAGGTGAGAAAGAGCCACGACGCGCGGTGGCCCATTAGAATTTTTAATGTTGGCCGTTTAGTGGGCACTGCCCTCGGAAATCGAGAACTGCAGCGGAGCAACGCCGCCGCGAGGGGCTTCTAAATGCTCCGGCCTCTTTCCTCTCCCGCTGACCGCTTCCTCTTTATCTTCCTGTCTTCTCTTCTTTTCTTTCTTTCCTCTTTTACTTCTGTTTTTCTTTTTTTTTTTTTCCCGACCGACTCTTAAACGCCCGTGCCTTTACTTGTTCTCTCGTGTTAAACACGCAAGAAGAAGCATCGGCTTCACACGAGAGTTGTGTTTCGTTTGTGATTACGCAGCTACAGGTGTTTCTCGCGGAGATGTCTAATCAGAAAGCGGAAGCGGAATCGTTTTATTTCACGATTTAACTGCCAAGTGGTGGTCTATCTCTTCTCAATCGACCTGAACCGGCACGGCTGTATATTCATAGGATCGTTCTTTATTCGCACGTCGCGCTTTCTCTCACGTGAGCGCAACGAGCGCAAAAAACAAATTGCAGCCTAGACGATAAAAGGTATCAATGCGATATGTCGATTTCTCGCGATCAATTACCCAATCTTTATGTGTTCTGGGAAACCATTACTGCGCGTGTATATATATATATATGTATATGTGTATGTGTATATGTATATATATATATATATATACGAAAATAAAATTACTCGCGAGTTCTTCTTAGAATATTTACGAGCTTGAATATTTACAAACAAAAGTCAATTTTTTACGCGTTGTCGTTGAATTCGAATAAAAAAAATTCAGAAGTCACGATTCGCAATTATAAACAGAGCGCGAAAAAGAAAGAGATCGCACAAAACATAATTTTCTGCGAGTGAAATTCTCACAATAAAAAGTTTGTCACCTCTTGTGAAACCCGTGAAACACACTGCGTCATTGTGTGTCGCGAACTAAATCAGGTATTTCCTGATTCGGAAGAATTTTTAAGAAAAGGGATAAAAAGTTTAGCGTTACCGCCAACGGTGAGAAATACAATTTTTAAAGCGCAGACACATCGATCGCGACAAGATCGTCAAGTTTTCGGCGCAAGAATCGCCGAAATCTTTATAAAGCGGCGAAATCGCCGGTTAATCGATTTCTTCGCATTACAGCGTGCTACCTGATGTTTCTTCCTTCCTGATCTGATCGTCTTTTTCGTTCCCTGTTACTTGAACTAATCGATACCATCTTTCGCAGGGATACGATGATGACGACGTTTGGACCAACGGCAGTCGCACGCGTTCACGGTAGATTTACCGGTTCCTAGACAATGCACGAAAAATACCGGGACGCGAGGGGTATTGCAAGAGCTTTGTCTACGCTCGCACAGGAGACGGAACAAACTCGGCTTCTCAACACTTCTTTCTTCGCGATTACACGCTCCGTTCAGTTAATTGTCCGAATAAATGCATTTTTCCGGACTTCTCATTAGCAGCTCGTTGAAACTGCAAATTTGGCAAAAGGTGTTGTCAGCAGAGAAGAGAATTGACGAAAAAAATAGCGAGTTAAAGTGACATGGGTGATTGCTTAGAAACTATTTTTTCATTTCTTCGAAATGTCTCAATTATCAGTCGAAGTAGATGCAAATCGAAATAATGATTTTTCTTAATGTTTAAAATATATAATTGTACCCTCTAGATTGAAATATTACTCTCACACAAACGTCGCGCATTGTAGAGTTTGTCCTAAAAAAATACGTATAAATTTATAGCACGTCGTACAATGTTGTCACAAAACGTAGAAAAGGATTTTCTTTTTTTTATAGCAGCCTGATTTTTATGACGGTATAGTTATTGAAGCTCCCCCGCAGAGTAAGATAATCTTCCCACACTCTGCATAGTCCCTGTTGACACGACTTTGTTACGGCAATTTGCTCTTTCTTGATCTTTCGGGTTCACATTTGTCGCTTACTGAGTATATCTCAAGATAGTTTTCATTAACATTTTGGTCATTTTTTCTCAGATTGCCTATCTCTTACTCGCAGTCTATCTTTTTACAAATATACCTGTTTGCGGATGAGTTTTTGAAGAGAAGTAAAGTTTCGTAGGACCCTTGGTGCTCTCACGACATGCCAATCAGTTTAGGCTACTGTGTTGTAAAGAAATTTACAAGGATGTGCAGACGCGTTTTTACGGCGCCAGACAATCGTCTGAAATTTATACCAAACCCATTATCCCGTCATTATGAGAAAAAGATATTGCTATCTGACAATGTCGATCGTAAATTTTATTTTATTTTGTGTGAGACTGGAGGCAAAAGAACGAGTCAATTGAAAGGTATTTGTGATGTAGGTCACAGGTATTGTATGCATTTTGTATCGTCCAATGATTTCTTTGTTATAATCCACTTCTCTTAGAAGATGACGTGACTCATCTACGCGGTTCGTAAATAATAATACACTTTTAAGATAAAAATAAAACTGCAGAATATACTTAAATTATTGTAGTGAACACAGCAACTGTACAATCACAATATTAAAAAAAAAAAACTTTCTTACCAAAAATTTCAAAACCTTGTATTATTTTTAAATTAAGCTGCTCACATCTGAGACTCGAGGTCGCGTCGACGATACGAAACGTTCTTTCTAAAATTTGCTTTGACGACCGACAATCACTTCACTCGCCGCGCTATCTCTGGTAGCGCATCCATATCGGTAGCAGCGATGTTGTATACCACGATGTAATTCTACGCGACGATATACGTGGAGACACGTTCTGTGGGCGGCCCTGTGGGCAGAGCCGCCCATTGTGCGGCATTCGTTTACCAACCACGTGGCAGGGCGTAGCCAAGACTGGGACCCCAGTTAGCATCATGAGTCCCAGCGAGAGACCGCGAGAGACCCCCCTCCCACCCTCCGCGTTACTTCTTGGTCAGGGTGCCCCCCTCGGTGCGCTCTCTCTCGAGGGAGAGACACACGAGACACCCGGTACCCCAGCTGACACGTTATTGCCGCAGTACCCCTCGTAACGAAAGCAACGGCGTGCTCGCCGATTCGTTTTCTTGTTTCTCGGCCCAGGAACGTGCCCGATCGCGACGTCGCCCCCGTCGTCGAGTCGCGGCAACTTCTCGTTCGACGCCGTTTTAAATTCCCTTGCTTGTTGACGGCCGCGTGTTTTAGTTTTTCTTTTCTCACAACCTTATATTCGCTGGCCCTGGTTGTTTCTTTTTCTTCGCACCCTTCTTTGTGCGGTTCTCATCGGCTTCTGTGTCTACGTGGGACCATAAGAGCGTGATCATCAACTTCACCCTCTAAACCTGGATGCTGACGAGGAGTCATTTTCCTTTGGGACAAGTGGCGAGTGCGAAGGACGCGCTCGTTTGGACGCGAAAGTGGCAGTTTCCAGGCAGTGTGTGTAAAAATAATCGTGCCGGTCAGGCTGGACCGAAATCGTAATGGATGTCACCAGTGGAATGAGGCCTATTTTTGGCGGATATCCGTTCCAAGGTTAGTTTGCATTGTGTGCAATTTTAACAATAGTTTGAAAATATACTAACACTAATAACAAAGTAAATTACAATACCATACCAAAAAAGCTTATCAAAATATACAATGTAATAATATTAGAAAAGATACGACAACAGAACTTTTAAAAGTTTCGATGTAAAATATGTGTTATTGTTTCGAAAGGTTTTCTTGAAAAAGAACAGAAAAGCGAAGGTGTTTTTAAAAGGTTAAAGTGGAAACACATATTGCACACATCGCAGACGTATGTAGATTATCAAATTTTTTTTAAAATAAATTAATTAGAAATTACGACATATAATTGTACTCTGTACAAATACAATTCCCAAGCGATATTATAATGCAGAAATATTGTAATGGGAATAATTTTGCGATTTGCATTTCTTAATTGCGACACACTCGCCAGATCTTATCTGTGACTGTCTGTGCCTTCTTTGACGGTCTCTGCGAGCGATAAAGACGGCGCGCGCACAAAAGGGTGCATTTGCGTCGAATTACGCTGACGTTAATCGTCGCATTTGAAAATCCCATTAGCGCGATTAAATAATTTACGCAACGCTGCGTCGGTAACAATGCGACCGCTTAATCGTCACGTTCGCGCTCGGTTATTAAGACGATAATTAAATTCAGTCACGATCGCCATTAACACACATTCGATCGATTACACCGCCGCGCGTGATTTTGATAAATCAATTCTGTCCAAAGCGAACGACTCCGTCGTAAATTAAATGGTAACGCGCGTTTGCCGTGCCTAGCCGCATATTAAACATTTCCCTTCGCCGCGTTTTAATTGATATTCACATATTTCATACACGGGTTCGCCACGAAATTGAATAAGACAAATCTATTTTCGATACTATCGCGCACAGTCGCGTATTGGCTACGCGCATTTTATTAGCAGACGGTATAATGTATATAGTAATTTTTCTTTATAGATACATATTGATGGCATACAACATGAATTATATCGAAGAAATAATAATCCTCAATACGGGGTATCGACAATTATAAAAAAAAAAGTGTTCATTTTTTTTACAAACGTAAATTGCAATTTTCGAGTAACGGTGTAAAAATCAACGCGACAGAATTGTTACAAAAACTATACAAGTCTCCTTTTTGAATTAAGAACGCGCTAAACCAAAATTGAACATAAAAAAAAAATAGATCACGAGAAAACAAATCTCCTCGAGAGAAGAATTAGAAATGTATTCAACGCGAATTGCATGCTCTGCCGGTAATTTACTCGGCATAAAAAATCAGTAGTTATACAGTAAACACAGTAATTCCTGTGACACGCATGCAAGATGCACCGGACAGAGAAGTCTGAAATAAATATCTCGACAAACAGGCTGTTCACGCTCGCGTGACGAAAGCGACGATTACCATCGCTAATGCGGCCAAAAACTTATCTTAAGAATCCCGAAAAGATACTACATCCCCGCGCGTCGATCGAAAATTACGACACACAATCGCTTTCCGACAATAAGATTCCGGGTCTCGCTGTGTTTCTTCACGGGGCGCGCGCGGCCTCAGCCGCGATTATTATAATTACCCGTCCCCGTTGTGTACTCGGAGCGTCCGTAATGCGTAAACATAGTAATTACGCGCGTGCAGCGCCGCGTGCGCACTTAGCCGGCGCGGCCTGATGATACGGGAGCTAATGTCACGTACGGAAGGGTGGCTAATTCGACTAACGATCCGACTTTATACTCGTTAGTGCTGGAATCGGCCTGGTGCACGCCTCCTCGCGCGCATAACTTCTTCAATTTTACGGCTGTTAGCCGCGTTTTTGGTATCCTCCGCGCCGCGTGAGGAGAGTGCGCGCCTCCCCGTTCTGTGTTATCTGAATTTCGTGTTTGCGTCGCGAATCCGATTTCGCCGTTAATTTCAAGCTCGATAGCTGAAATTTGTCCCCGCGAGATCTCGATTGTCAAAAACATTTTCGCGATTTTCACGAAGAAAATGAAAATCCGCTCTTGCCTGACACTCATATGTCTCTTGAAATGAATTGACGTAACTTTCTTAAGATTTTTAAACATTTTTAACCAAATAATATTTAAAACAAAATTATAAAAATGTACACTTTTTTAAATTACGATTGATTATTAAATTATTTTAATTCAAAGAGAGAGAACAGAGACAGAAGATGCGGATGATGCTCACATCACAATTTCGCGATTATTTCTTACAGGACAAGGACGGATGAATCAGCTGGGAGGGGTGTTCATCAACGGTCGACCTCTCCCTAATCACATTCGTCTGAAAATTGTAGAAATGGCCGCCGCTGGAATTCGTCCTTGTGTTATCTCCCGACAGCTCCGTGTCTCTCACGGTTGCGTCTCCAAAATCCTGAACAGGTATCAGGAAACAGGATCTATTCGTCCTGGAGTAATCGGTGGTAGCAAACCGCGAGTGGCCACACCAGAAGTTGAGGCGAGAATCGAAGAATTAAAGAGGGACAATCCGGGAATATTTTCGTGGGAAATCAGGGACAAACTCATGAAGGTAAATCTAAAAATTGTTTAACATATCTCTCTCTTTTTTTAAAATTATTTATATAATAAATAAATATAGCGCATAATATTCGTGCACGGTAAAAAAAAATTAGAGATATATTTTTAGCACTTTGTATCGAAGTGCGCATCATTTTCAAACCGCGATTCATTATTCCGGTCACGCAGACATTTTTCCACCCCGCGAAAATCCCGCGAGCCATCACTCGACCCCTTCGATCGAAGGTGGACGTTTTCTGCGCGGTTACTCGATGTGTGTCTCTATCTCTCTTGGGGATCATACTCAATGGGGCTTTTTAATCTTGTGCACGCGCGAGGCGTGCACAAGGCGAGCGGCGGGGTACGTGAGCGGCCCGAGGCAATTCGCGTGTCCTTTAATACGTTACTGACCGCCGTCTACACCTACGCCTCATTGGCGTAACATCTCTCTGCGTCTCGATTTTCGAGTATGCAAATGGACTTTTCCTTATGAATAATCTCTTCCGCATTACACCCCCGAGTGCGCCCGATGCTTTTCCCGATTAAAAAAATTGCTTACATGAGAAAGTTATTAACGCGAAGAGAAATAAAGAGAGGATTAATTCTTCAGCGTTCCGACACTAAATTTGAAGATATATTTACTGCATTTTATATGTTTAATTACAAGTTTCTGTCGTCAGAGGTGTTGTAATAAAAAAAAATAAATAAATAAAGACATTATATTATGCAGAAATTACTCAAGAAAAGATATATAAAATACATAATAAAATTTACGCACAAGAGATATGAAAATAGAGAAACTAATGGTTTATATTACTAGAGCCGAGTTAATTTAGCGACTTTATCACACCGATGTGAATTTTCATTTCATATCCGGGTTTGTGTTGTATTTTTATTTTTTATGCTATCGCATTTGATCATCGGCGCGGTAGCACTCGTCTCTCGAAGCAACAAACGTCAAGTATCGGATCTCTCGAAGCCCCGAAGATATATCTCTCTGCATATCTGTTCGATAAAATCGGATGGCGGTTCTCAAACTGAAACCGTGCGAAATTCCGACAGAAGGGGGTTTTTGCCCTCCTTTGATGGAACGCCTTCCTCGCTGCGAGCAATTTCTTTGATAGAGAGATAAATCTCGCTCAAAAAAGAATCATACGTAATGTCCGCGAGATCGACAATAAAGAGAAAATATTAATTGAGAACGTGTTTGTATGTAAAACTGTAAGCGCAAAAGATTCAGAAAAAACATTCTGAAAACCACACAAAACTCTAAAGAAAATACCACAAAAAAAAAGAAAACAAAAGACAAAACTACAAGCGCGAAAAGAAAGACTACGAAGGAGAATAAGAGAATGACGTAGTGAATATAAATAAAAGGACAAGCGAGGGAGAAATTGGGGAACGCCACAAAACGAGAGAACGAAAAAGGAGAGCGGGGAAAAGCGAACGAGAGAAAGAGAGAGACCACGGGCGAGAGTGAAGTATCGGAAATGATCGGAGCGTGTGAGAGAGAGAGAAGTGCCGAAAACAGCGCTCGAAGAAAGAGAGCGGGACTCTGAAAGACGAGAGAGCCGCGTCTGTGCGGAGAAGGACGAAAAACGGTTTCGAGAACACGTACGCCGCTGCAGTGGAGGCAGGCCGGTCGTGGCCGGCATTAATACGGCATTTAATGTTGGAAGGAGGCGTTCCTGGGCCCTGAGGCCCGCAGGGCGCCTCTCTCTCCTCGTCTCACCCGATACCCGACTGTCTTGTCGGGCCCGGATCGGTCTCTCTCTTTCCTGTCATCGCCCCGGACCCGACGCTTCGGCCACCACCGACAGAAGGATCGTTATTGTTTCTGAGATCGGCGATCCGCCAGATAGCGATCGACACCGACACGACCCCCTTTCCCTCTTTTCCTCTTCGGCCTGTCTCTTTCCCTCTGTATATCTCTTTCTTTCTCGAATCTCGTTGCTCTTTTTCATGCTTCTTCCACCCGCTCTTTTTAAATCTTTGGCAAAAAACAAAAAGCAGTTCCTTGGCTCGCGGGATAATGCTCACTCGATCTTTTACCTCCTCGCGCTTTCTTTATTTATCTCCGTTCTCTTTATAGCGAATCGCTCGTTCGGCACGCACTCTCGATCCCGCCGTTCGATAACGCCGATCGGTATCGGCGCGTGCGTACGTGCACAGATTTTCGCGGCTTCGCGAGACAGTGTTGATACGGTGCGGTGAAATTTTCTCGATACGTAATTACGAAGATACGTGGTGAAATCGTGAATATATATATACGCTATAACGAGCTCACGATCCACGTGCTGTGTCCAATGTCGATTCGTATCATCCGCGTGCCCTTATTATTTCGGATTATCAATTCCACTTTGAGCGAAACTGTAAGTTTCAATAAAAATTTCAACAAAAGTTGCAGTTTTGTTCAACAACAGTTTTTTAGTTAATGTTTTTAAATTCTTACATGTGCAAATATATAAAATATTACATATGTAGATGTAAGTATTTTTTAACATTTCACTCAGTCACTGCGCGACCATCTACTTTATTTCTACACAAAGTAAGTTATGAGCACGTTTCGTGGGATAAAGAAATATACATAAATTTTATAAGATCTTGACTTTGTACTATTTGTCACCCAATGCGATTCACTTTTGTAATTTTGCGACCGAGGAGGGCTCAAGTTAGAGCCGAAAAGTACTTCATACGTTTTTGTTATAATTTTAATTTTAATTCTACTCATTAAAATTTTAATTATACTCCATTATATTAAAGACTCTAATTGCTCAAAAAAAACCTTAATTAATTTTCATTTTTAATATAGATAAAACTAGGTTTTATAATGTAACACAATATATGTCTGCAATTTTTATACGCAATGAAAGAAGTCATTAGATGAAATGAACTTGTACTTGACCGCTATTATGCTGTACAGTGTACGGTATTCCGATATATTTTATGGCGACAATCCATTAACGTTGTCCATTAACCTTGTTGAAATTGTTGAAGCCGCGCAATCACAGACAAGTTTAATGGATCCAACGGATCTCTGTTTACGATCTCTTGTGACTTTACTCGCTTTACTCTCGTAACGGTCGTACAAGAATCCCGAAACCTTTTGCAATCAAGGAAGGAGAATCATCTTTCGCGCAATCGCGAGTAACGGAATCGCGTCTATTGCTATTATCGAATAAACGATTTTTTGTCTCGCAATCTAAGACTCGATAATTAAAATTTGATCGCGTACAAATCGTGTGTCTCTTTCATTCATTTGCAGTTTCTGCGAACATTTCAAGAACACACGACGCGAAACTTTTGATTGCGCGCGTCCTGAAAGTAACAAATGTTTACTTTTGCGGTTTCACGAAATGACCGATTTGTTCGGTCGGGATCATCATCGTTTACATCATCCGCACTAACTGCGCAACAAGACCTGTGATCTGCGCGCCGTTCCGCCGCTAAAGAACTGCTTTCGATTTCCACGGTTATCTGCGTGTTTCGTCGTCGGCGCAACCTCGTTTCGTTACTCGCGGCGCGCGAAGTGAACGCGCGCCGCGTGTAACGGTAACGTCTCGGGCGTACAATGTGCAATAACGCAGAATCTCACGGCGCGGCGCAAATGTGTATGCCGACACGAATATAATCGCGCCAAATTGTAGTGCGGTAGCCTGCAGTTGCGAGTGCCACACGCGGGCTCACCACGGAGCACGTAACTCCGGCGATCGATCAATTCGCATTTGCCGGTTTCTAGGAGCGAAGAGGCGAGTGTGCGCGCGCGCGCGCGATCGAGACGGAAACGTGCGAAGCTTTGCGTAAACCTAGCAATCTCCGTCCCGCAAATTGCGGGACGTTTTTATGCGACTTGAATTAATACGGAAACAAAAGACGGGATCGGTAAATGCAATAAGTTTTATATTAGCGACATGAGAAAGTACGTATCTCTCTCAAAATTATACTCTCTGCTAGAAAGTGTATTGCAACAAATCGTCGATATTACATAATTTTACGTAATCGTAATTTGTAGTTTCAGTAACAACAAAATAATTTGATTTTTTATTTTAATAAATCTGGTTTGCGTGAAGGAGGGATTCTCGGATCCGCCGAGCGTCAGCTCCATCAGCAGGCTTCTTCGGGGCGGACGACCGGGAGATGACACGAAAAAGGATTACACAATCAATGGCATATTGGGCAGTGGTAAGTCAACATTCTTCCTCTCTCTCTCTCTCTCTTCGTAGGTTTTTATTTTTTATTCGGGATACATTTTTACGCGCACATAGATTAAATTTCGAATAATAAGCGGGCGATCAGTTCTCTCGGCCAATCGGACAATGTATCTCTTACATTCGCGCGATGTTTATCGCGGCGAGAACGGTGCGAACGCGCGGGTAAAGCTGCGGTAAAGTTACTCTCATCGGACAGTCGAAGGGTTAATTACCCTTTTAGGCTGTCAGCGGCGAGAAAGAAATCCCCCCACGCCGCGGCGGTTCCAATATGGCAAAAGAAGGCCCACGCTCGTACTCGGTATCGCGCGAGAAATATGGAACGTAGGGAAGAAAGAGAGAAAAAAAAGTCGCGCACGATCCATCGTCTCGCATCAAGAGCTTTTAACCTCCGCCGGGGCCCGTGGACCCAGTTTGACGCATACGCTAAGACCGTATATACCGGAGGCCTTAAGCGCCTCCGCTCTTCGCCCTCGCTGTTAGGGACTTTCGAGTTAGTCCGAATGAGCCGGCAACGGACCGGACGGCCCCAGGATTTAATCTCCGGTGGGCGTGAGCGGGATTAGCCAGGTTACCTACACGTCCGACAAACGGATTACAGAAGTGTCAATATCTTACGGGAGGGATATTATATCCCTCTTCGTTCGCGCGTCCCTCGCATCATCGTCTTCTTCCTTCTCCCGAGATTTGTGAGACGGTTTTCGCATACGATATCGTGCCTGATTATGCGATGGCATCGGCAGCCTTCTGTAACATCCCCGAACATAAAAGACGTCACACAAGAGTTTCCTGTCTATCCGTTGTATTCTTTTTGTAAATGTGAGATTTGTTTCAACGTGCCTTATTGCAATTTTTTATTTTTCTTTATACAAAATCGGATAAATACACTTGTATGTAAAACTCAAATTTATTTTGTATAAAAATACATATAATATTGATTACTTTTTCTATCTCGTATGAACATTATATAAGGATTAGGATCGACTAACAAAAATTTATCGAATTTGGGAGAAGATAAACAACAGTCGTGTTCTTGTAAACGTTTTAATTACAATATAAGACATAAATAACTTCATTAGACCACACAATCTTGATCACAAATAGCAGCTATCGAGTTTTTTCGATCTAGATCCCTATCTTGCTTTGAGGAAATAATTCGGTTCTTAAGCCAGCGGCTGTTCAGGTATGCACGATCGGTCAGTTTGTTACAAGAGCGAGAAGGGAATCTGTTTTTGTGATTGATACAGGTAGACACGGAGGAATTAGCGGTACAGGTGTCCCAAAGTCTTAAAAAGTCAAGCCGGCGTGGATGCTGCTGGGGTCGAGAAAAGATCCTTCGATCGCGGACCGTCGAGAATGTGAGGAAAGAGTCGAGAGCCGAGAGGCAAGAGAGCTGGGGCCTCAAGGCTCAGGGGCCCTGTGAGGGTCCCGCGGAGATCAAACGGGCCGCCTGCCACACGTCGACAGTGGTGCTCATTCACGACTCCCCGTTGTTTCCCGACAGATTCCTTTAATTAATCTAATCGAGCGAATTGGTTTTCGTGGTTTTGCGTGGTGTGCGGATTTATTCGCGGATATTTTCGCGCAAAAAATATTTTGCGATCGATTCGAACTGGATCGAGTCGAAAAAACCGGTCGAAATATGCACAAACGGTGGGCAGCAACAAAAATCCTTCACGTATACAGTCAGAAATAACCAGAAGCAGTCGATAAAGCTTGGAGAACAGTGATTAAGCTTTCGAAGCAGGCGTGAATTTCGCAAGATGAGAAAGCGCCTCTAGAAATATCTTACCGCGCGTCTCTCTCTTTCTCTGGCCAAACCGCGAAACCATCAATTACAGATGCGTATCGCTTCTGGTGCGCTTAATTATGCATGACTCGTGATATGTAACTGGCTCGCGCGCGAGCGCGCGCGCGCGCGCTTCATATAATCTTTTTCCTAAAATTGCGATGATAGAAATCTCGTTCGCGCGCTCTCCGATGCGCGCCGGACTTTTGTGCAAAAATGTGAATAATTATTTAACAAGCGGGTGAGAGCGGCATTTTTCACTCTCATTCACACACCGTCGTTTATACAATATTAAATGCCTTTTGCCGCGTCTGGCAAAATTGATTAACATCGATCGATCGAATTAAAGCGTCGGCGATGCAATTTGCCCGCGCCGTGCGCGCCGCTTGCGCGAATCCCGAGACAAAGAGCGCCGGTTGCCGGTCTCCCTCTCTCACGCCGTTGGAAATAAATAAACGCCGAAATGGACGCGGCTTTATGACTTCCTGTCATTACTATCAAACGCGAAGAAACACTTAAACCGCTATTAAAGTATTGCGAGTGCCGTTTCTAAACGTATATATATATACCTACCGCGGAAATTCATTAACTATTAATTCAGAAAAAAAAATATTTTATTTAGACACACGAGAGGAACTTGCTATTTTTAACGTGTGATTTTTTCATTAAGTTGTTATTTTTTCTCTTAAACAGCTTTTTCTCGCAGTTCAAACTTTTAATTCTAATTAAAACTTCATTACTGATCGAACTGGGATGTTTAATTTTTATCACCCGCGTTATATCAGCGTTTAAGTGTGTCGACAACTCGGAAACAAAAGTTCGCTAATTGAATTCACTCGCGATGTTGTTGTGTAGCCGGCTTCCGATTCACTTCATCCCGATTTTCGTGAGCAGATAAGGAGAAGTTGCTATCGCGGTCGGCGCCGCGTGCGGCTGAATAACTTATATATGGTGCACGAGTTTGCTCGCATGCTGCGCGCAATAGGAAGCGAGGGCAATCGTGATAGGGAGCACCTCTGGACGGATATACTCGTACTATGGCGGAGAGGTGTCGGTCCGGGTATAGGTGTCGGCAGGCGAGCAGGAATGACACGTAGCCTGTGGCTTTCTTATTCCTTCTTATTCCGTTCCTTTGGCTTCGGCCGCCGACGAGGGATTAGCCTAATGGGTCCTGCTCGCCCTCCCCCACGCCGTCCCTCCTCACTCTCTGACCTCCTTCCCTCGCTACACACGTGTATAATATGTATATCCATCCTGATCCTTTTCCCCTCGCTTCCCGTCTCTTTCTCTTTCTCGTCCCTCCGACACGATCGGACCGACGAGAGAGTATATCCGCGCGATGAACAACGCCGCTAAGTGATTCACAATCAGGTTTATTGATTGTATCGACGATCGACGCGCGATCGTTCGCACGGGGGGAATGCGCCGCCAACACGCTCACGCGATACTGTTTTTAATGTTTAAGCACCTTCTTCTCGACGCGCGAGATCCCTTTTCTTGCCGATTCGCTTGCATGATTCGCAATCAAATTTGCAGATTACATCGCGCCGATCGACGTCCGCATTGTTCGGCCGTCGCGAGTTGCTCAGCGCGCTATTATCAAGCCGCGCGCGTAGAGTCAATAAGATCCCTCGAAGAGACGAAGCTGCGATAAGATCGAGATGGATTCTCTCGGTGCGCTAAAAACGGTGATTTGCATGTTGCGTTACACATCTTGCTTCCTAGCCACTTTGCTTTATTTCGCGTCTGAAAGGAGAAGATCGAGATCCGATAAGAAATTTTAAAAAAATACAATATTCACGCGCGCGCGCAGAAAAGTTTCGATATATTGAAAATATTTGTCTCGTTCGTCCTAATCCTTAGGAAAAGAACTTTGTGTAAAGACGAGATTAATTATGCAGGTTTTTAATTATTTATAACTTTCTCGCTTTATTAACGCCATATCAAGGATAATACTTTGTTGCATCACGCCGCTAATATTCTTATCTGCGAGAAGTCGCGAAACATCGTGCTCGAGAGTCGACACATCGACGCAATGAAAAATGCGAGAGAAGTCAGTGAGCGATTACACGGGCTGGGGAGAGAAGAGACGCAAGAGAACGCGAGAAAGAGAAGGAGCAAGAGGAGATCGGCTGTCGGGAGTGATATCAAAGCGTGTATCTAATGCGCCGTACGAATCGGGCTGCGGGAGCGTGGACGCGATCCTTGTCACGCGAGCGTATAATCCTTCGAGAGCGATACATACTCGGTATCGTACGACATGTGTCCTTACGGATACGGCTTTTTATCATCATCGGATTGAATTAAAAAAGCGCGCGCGCGTTCAGAGCTTTGTATGTAAGATAACCCTTACGAATTTATCGACGATTCTCGTGTATATTGTAAAAATTGCAAAGTAAATTATATATCTATGTTCATTTTTGTTTTGTTTTAAGTAGAAAACATGTTAAAAGAAAAAGAATCAAAGAGAGCTTATGGTTCCAAGCTGGCAATGGACAATCAAACAATTAATTAAAAAAAACATGTTGTTGCAAAAGTGCAAACTAAAAACTAATTTTACATATGAATTAAACGTATTCAAATAATTTTCTAATTTTTTAAAAATATACAGTAATAAATAATTATTCCGAGTTTTGGATATTTTCATAAACTTTATTCTTTAATGTAAAAAGCGGCGAAAACTAATTTTGCTAATTTTTTGTACATGCGCGATGACGGTATAAAATATAGCGCACGTGATGTAAATTTCAGCGATTACATCATCAGTTTAATTTCTCTTCTCCGCATCGCCTCCGTCATCTCTTCTGGGTTGCCTCGCCCTTCATTTTCAGTCACCTCGACTTCGTAGCTTATAGTAGTCTTCTCTTTCATTAAGTCGCGATTTAATCGAGCGCACTTAAGAAACTCGTGCGCGTGCTGTAGAAAAATGTTAATTACGTGGCAACAACATCAACTCGATGACGATCAATTGCCACAAAGGCGCACTTGGATATTTTTGCGAATACAAATCAGAGCGTGTGTTCTCGAACACGCGACGGTATAAGCCCGGCAGAAAATAATATTTTCTCGAACGATCGTTAGATTATTGTGTGCTGACTTCGTCAAAAGCAGTGTTTTTATTTTTATTAGAATTTGCAAAGAGAAATAGAAATACGCGTGTATTTTTCTCGCATAAGTTGCAAGAA